AATAGCATATATATGAATTTTAAGTGAAATAAGTATGACATGTCGACTTGGCGTTGTTGTTGTTGTTTTTTTTCTTTTTTTCTTCTTTGAAAGAACAAACTTGCGTTAAATTACTGGAAATGGTCCAACACCAAATGAGATAAGAAATTTCGAGGATCACTCCATACAAAAAAGCTGAAGGGGAATGGGTTGCATATTTAGTTAGAGAATGAGCAACGACATTGTCTGAACGTGGAATCCAAAATAATCTAACAGAAGGCAAATGAGATAAACAAGAGACTATACCATCTATAATTGACGAATATCTCGAAGGGGCATCAGTTAAACCCGATGTAGCTTGAACAGTCAAGGAAAAATCCCCCATGACAGCTGCATTCGGAATATTTAATCTCTGAGCCAAGAGGATCGCTTCCCTCAACGCCAAAGCCTCAGCTAAATCAGAATCAATAATACCAGCAAAACGACGTGGCAAAGCTTGTAAAAAAGCTCCATTGGCAAAACCGACATAGACACTGGAGCCACCACATACTCGATTAGTGGACCGTCATCGAAACGGTCAAACTATTTTATTAAATCATTTGTGGTATGTTCAGATTTTAATTTATAAATATTTTAGTATCTATATATAAAATGTGTTACTTAGATATCTAAACAATTTATAAATTCAAATGTATATATATATATATAAACATTTTAATTTTTTTTTATATATATAGTGCTTCTTGTAATAAATTTAAATAAAATGTGTTACTTAGATATCTAAAAAATTTATAAATTCAAATGTTTAAACTAATTGATAAATAATTTATAAATCTCTATTTTATTTAAATATGTAATTTTATTTTAAATTATTTTAAATATAACAAAATTTATTTAGAAAATCGTATCGATCCTACCAGTCTAACCGACTGGTGTTGACGGATTTGAGAGCAACTATTTTATTCAAGCGAACTAGACTCGTTATAAACTGGTTCTTGGTCCATCCGGTCGGACTGTGTCCAACTTGGTTTAATTTAAAAACAATAAATAAATCATAATTAATGTTATTTATATATTTAATTTATAATGCAGGCATAATATTGTTTTCTCGTGCTCGCACGGGCCATACTAATAATAAGAATTAGAATAATATTCAAACTAATGAAACGAGTCGATCAAACTTGCCGAGATATGCTAATGCAATCTCGTCAGCATCAGACAGAGGTGGGTAATGGGTGGGTGACAGACTGGGCGTGGGGAATGGGAATCAATTAATTTGGGGTGGGGCCTACTAAAGTGGTAAATAATTAGTGTGTGAATAAATGACCATAAACCATTAGATCATCCAATCTAATAGCTAAGATTTATTCATATTTATTTCATTGAGCACCATCCCCCCTATATATTAATTGAGAACGTGTTGAGCCTATGTGACAGGCTCGCATGATTCGGGATCCTATGTGGCAAAATTACATGCTTCGTTATTAGGCTTGGGTAGACTTCTAATCCAAAAATATTTAGGTTCGGATTATCTATAAATATGTTGATTATTTATTGTAGGGGTGGGCGCAGTCCGGGATGGTCCTGGATTAATTTGACTTATCCGGATACCGATCCCACTTTTATGAATCCGTCCATGAACGGTACGTAATGAAGCACCGTCCCCACCTATGTAATACATGGGTGTTGGTACTAGTTCTTACTTGAACCCAACCCTTGGGGCTCTGGTAAATCAATGAGAGATAAGTCTTTTCGGTGAATGAATTATTTTCACGTATTTGTCAACATTTACATAAATAATTATTCTTGAAATCTAAAGTTCAGATGTACTGTATGATTTTATAGGCACATTTAAACAAAGTGGCTGCGAAGGCTGTCGAAAAATTGATGCCCTCCGATGTTAAGGGCAATTTGGGAATTTTATGTCAGTGGGCAGATAGAATTAGGAGGCAATATCGTTGGGCATCTTATTGCTTATTCCTTATTTTGCACCTTATTCCTTATTCCTTATTCCTTGTCTGATCCTTTGAGGGCAGATAGAATTAGGAGGCAATATCGTTGGGCATCTTATTGCTTATTCCTTATTTTGCACCTTATTCCTTATTCCTTATTCCTTGTCTGATCCTTTGAGCCACCTGGACAGAAAGGAATAACGCGAAGCATAGGAATAACCCTTTTTTGTCTTCTCATATTATTTGCAGGTTGACCGACATCTCTCCCTCCTCATCGCATTGGGCAGACTCACTCAGAGAGACTGGACAGGCTGCACTCCACCTCACCGCCTTGCACCACCTCTGCTGGTGCCTGTCCAGCATCCACGTCCCAGAGCTGTTGTTTGGCTGAAACTCAAGTCGCCTTTGGTTAAGCTAAACACTGATGGAGCCTTTAATCGACTTACTGAAGTTGTAGGAGGTGGGGGCCTGATTAGGGATTATAGCGGCGCCCTTATTATCGCGTTTCAAAGTAAGGGTTTTTTAGGTAATTCATTTTTATATTTAAAAATATAAAATATGATGTGTATTAGTTTATTACTAATTTGCCATTAAAAATATGTCAAAGTAAGAGTTTTTTAGATAGTTCATATTTTTACAAAAACACTCGTCCTTTTAAAGTAGTATAGATAGATAGATATAGATATAGATAGATATATATATAGATATAGATATAGATAGATAGATAGATAATTATTCTTGAAATTTAAAGTTTAGATGTACTGAATAATTTTTAATAGGCACATTTAGAAAAAGTGGCTGCAAAGCTGTCGAAAATTTGCTGCCCTCCCATGTGAAGGGCAATTTGGGAATTGTATGTTCGTGGGCAGATAGAGTCAGGAGGCGATATCGCTGGGCATCTGAGCTTCATTATATAAACGTCCAAGATCATAATTGTGCCTACAAATACACTAGTTACTTTCTCGTCCTTAATTTATTTCGTATTTTTACCCCAAAAGAATAAAAATATTATAACTTTATTATGAAGCAAATTCACCTAATGATAACTCAATTTTTTATTATGTTAATGAACAAAATAATATTGATAAGAGTCTCATACAGTCATAAATTGCTTTTAATCTTAAAATACGACAAAATTAGTTATTTAAATTGATCTTAACACAACATTGTAGTTAAAATATGCTTAGTAACTAATCTTGTGGTTAATTTATCAAAACCTCTTGTCAGACATTTGCTACTAATCTTAAGGATCTTGGGAATGATTATTTGTTGACGGAACAAATAGAAGTCTCAAGGGAAAGTATCTTAAAATTGAGGGTGTATTTATTTGATATTTTGAGTGTTTAAGACCTTTAAAAAAAAAAAATCATGTATTCAATCGGGAGTCTTAAAGACTTTTTGAGATTTAATGAAGTGTACTTAACTTAAATATTTAAACTTTTAAAAGTCTCGAGTTATGCATTTGAGATTTTAACAGGATTTAGAAATCATGAGTTATTCAATTTATTTATCATTGAATTTTTAAAATTTACTGAAATTTCAAAGGCAAAAACCATATACGAAATCTCACGCTAAGCACATTCATGTATAAATTTGTCAAGAATTCCACTAAGATCTAAAAATTATTAAAATGTCATTCACAACCCAAGAAAAATACGCTCAAGTCTAAACATGAGATTTTGTGGTGGAATTTGGAAGTCTTAATGAAGACTTGAACAAATTTAAGCATTAAATAAGTTTTAATATCTCATGACAGTTTAAGATTTTTTTTTAAATTTCAGCTAAATACCTCAATAATTTTAAAAGTTGTAAAAAATCTAAGTTAAATACAATATAATTTCTAAAATCTTAAAACACATTTGTAGAAATGATAAAAGAATACACCCACTTAGGCTCAATCATATGAGACCAAATTGTTAGAGTTAGGACCTTATTTCCGTGGGATCAAATTAAAGTGCCTCGTTTTCAAGATTTTCACATTTCGCAAGACTCAAAAGTGTAATCTTTTCGTTTTATTTCATTTTTATATTACAATTTTTTCCTGATATCCCTTAGTCTAAGAATGAATATGCTTCATTAATTTTTGAAATTTACAGGGGATTGCATAGGTAGAAATAGGGTGCAGGACAGGTGCCTTTCAGGTGCAATCAACAACTATACTGATCAGCTTTCGAGTTACAAAAAGGCCGAATGTAAAATAAATCACTCACCTTTTATTTATTTGTTTCAATAATAATAAAAACAACTATGTTCCATTTCGTTGTTATTAATCAAGATTAGAAATTCTGAAACACATATTTCGAATTTCCAAATTTTAGATAATCTCACAGAGGCATTGCTATTTCTGTCTCATTTCATAGCAGACATTCATCAGGTATACATATACGATCTTTAGTAAAATAATAATAATAATAATAATAATAATAATAATAATAATAATAATAATAATAATAATAATAATAATCATAATCATAATCGTGAATTAATTCTGTTTTTGGCAGCCGTTGCATGTTGGTTATTTATCAGATAAAGGAGGCAACACAATTAACGTGATTTGGTTCACCAGAAAACAAAATCTGCACCATGTAAAGCCATATCTAATAATTAATCCCGTCTTTGTACAAGTTACAATAATATGAGTTGATTAGAACAATATTAATCTAAAATATTACTAATATTTGATTGAAAATCAAATATATCACGAGTCATTTTTGTTTACCTTTCGTAGATTTGGGACACCGATATAATCCGAAAACTGGAAGGTGGAGTAAATTCTTCAAATGTAGAAGATCTCACCAGAAGAATTCAACAAAAAATAATGGTGAATGTTATATAATACGCGCAAAAAATATATTAGTAATAATTTATTTTTTTTCATGATTAAAATTTGTATGCTTGGACAGAGAAAATGGAGAAGGCAAATCCGTGGCTGGGAGTTCTGTCCTGGTCGTCTGAAAACTTGCCCTAACGTGTACGTGATTTAATAAGAATTAATTTACATCACTTTGCAATATTTATTTAGATTTTCTAAAACATGCATAAAGTTTAATAAACTCCAAAATGAAGTTAATGAATGTGTGTATTTTTCAGGTATGCAGAAGAGAGTATAAAGATAGCTTGCCAGTGGGCATATAAAGAGGTTCAACCTGGCTCAGTACTAAAAGGTCTTTTTATTTCTCAAGATTTTTCTTTCTTTAGTGTTTTTATAAGTGAAGTCGTTTAGTTCATAACTTTTACGTGCGAATTTTTCATGCAGATGAGTATTACCAGACACGGTTACCTGTTGTCGAAATGCGAATAGCACAAGCTGCAATTCGCTTGGCAGCGACTCTTAATCGGATATTTACCTAATATACCGAATATAAACCTTATTTATGTTCTGGGGAATATGAAAATTAATAGACTATTTCATAAGAACACAGAAGTTGCTAGGTAATATGAAATTTATGTCACCATCTGTTTTAGGTACAGTTTTATGTATGACATACTTGTCTCAATTGTTCATAATGATTGAACAGGATAATGTAATGTAAACAGATTGAAGTAGACAAAGGATTGAAAAGAAAAAGAAAAAAAAAAAAAGTGCAACTTTAGAAGCTTCTATGCAGGAAGTTAAAAATAAAAACAGATTTTACAAGAGGAAGAAAAAAAAAAAGAATATTGAAGTAAAAGATTTGCTCAACCCGCATTAGTTTGTTTGTTTTTGCGAAAAGAAAACTTAAAAGAAGAGGGATAATATAGCATTGGATTTGTTGACTTTTGATGGAAAATAATATTTTATATATTGGTCTTGTTTGGAAATAAATGTTAGGCATTAGCGAATTGTGTTAGCTGTTTTGACTTATGATGCAAAATGATAATAATAATAATTATTATTATTATTATTTAGTTTGGAGAATAAGCTAGGGTTCAGTTTGAGAGTTTTATTTAAAGGGTTCTCCTGTTTTGTTATTAGGAAGAGTTGATTTTGACTTAAAATATAAATTGATTGTGAGTTTTATCGAAAGAGTATCTCGTTTAATCTTTCCCACTCGTACGCTTCCCTACATCAGTTGGTATCAGCAATCAGTATGATTTGCGATGCCGCCGGGACGACAAGATACCGCAAATGATTTCAACAATTGGACGTGATGCAACCTTCAACAGATTGACTACTGATTTCAACAATTGGACGTGCGTTTCACGAAGTGGTTTGCCGATCTTTCGACGGGGATCGAGGATTTGCTTTTGACGCTTAACAACGTGGTTGTTCCGGAATTATAGACGAACTGCGATGGAGGCCATGACTATCGCGGGGGAGACAGAGGCGGTCGTGGGGGACGCAGCCATGTCGGGGCGGGGCGCCCCAGCAGCGGTTTCCGCCACCTCTGAACGGCAACAACGATGACGACTCTACTTGGTCGACTAACCCGTTTGTCGATCGACCACCATGGCACCTCAAGTTCGCGAGCAACGACGGGCTAGAGGTGGTTTCGAACATGGCGGCAACCGTGACGACGGGGACACCCTAGGTGCGGCCCGATTTTGCAGCCAGCGGCAGCCCGGGGAGGGTTTTAATTTTCGATTCCCGCCCAAGCATGCAACCCTAGACGGCGATTTCGGCGAACTACTGCAGGCGAAGGGTCGCGCGGAGCCCTAGACGGTGATTTCTGTCAGGCTACTGAAGGCGAGGATTTTGGTCGTGAATTTGGTCAATGGGTCGGCCCGTTTCGCGCTGACATCCCCGGATTCGACGCGGAGCAAGTTGATGGGTTACTGTACGACGGTCCGCCCATTTTTTATGAGGAGCCTCCGGTAACGAAGACATATTTTTGCAGCAATATGGTTCCCAAGTGGGACGTTGCAACGGTTGAGCCTTCGAATGGGAAGCCGTCATTCACACCCAATTTTTTGAGTATTTTGGCCAAAGATGGTTTTTTTGGAGCCGAAGCCAAGGCTCAATAACTGGTGGGCCATTTTTCGATTGTTTATCGCGAAGTCTCACAACAACGGGATGCTTGGCCGCAGTTATGGATTTGAGCGCGACGAACGATGTGGTGTGTTTTGTGTTAATTCAGTTGTGTGGGTAATGCGTATGGAGGCGTGTACATGTGCCTTTGCAGCAGTTCAATCCTTTCCCAAGATTATGTTTACTTTCGGGGTTGTTGGGCGACCTTCAACATTCGTGTTCGATCGGGGGAAACGTTGGGCTATTCCTGTCATGAGATGTCTCTGACAGGAACGGGTTGGATTCGAGGGTGTATCCTGCTCAACCGATGGAGAATGATATATAATAATAATAATAATAATAATAATAATAATAATAATAATAATAATAATAATAATAATAANTTTATTTATTTTTTTTATTTTGCCGGGTCAGACCCGGGTTGGGCCCGGCCCGGCCCGCCGGGTCATGGGCCCGACACGGATTTAGGGCGTGCCGGTTCAGGGTCGACAAAACCCAACCCTTCGGCCCGCCGGGCCGGGTTGGGCCCTGAACCGGCCCGCCATTTGGCCATGTGTGGGGCTCTCCTGCTTTGTTATTGGGGGATTTGATCTTGAATGAAAATATGAATTGATTGTGAGTTTTATCGAGAGAGTATCTCGTTTATCTTTCTCATTCGTACGCTTCCCTAATCAACTTATCAGCAAATTGTGCTACTTTTTTCATTAATAGCATCTACAATGTATTGAGTCTAGTCTTGCCTATGCGGCATGTAAATAAATCCAAGTCTTAGATGACATGGATAAAACTATGTAAAATTATATAATGTACTCCAATACAAAGAGACTAGGTCTCTACTTGGGTCAAAAATAAACTTAAGGGTAGACCTGATCTCTTTTTCTGACTGTCACATCAACAGAACCCAATCTATTTTTATTTGCATTGGATAATTTATTTTTTTAGACTAAGTCTATTTTTTAGGTGGCATATAATTTTGTGGGATTGAATCCAAAACATTGTGGATGCTATAACAGGTCTAAATAAATAAGTTATAATAAATTTACATTTGTCCGTGCTCTCATTTTTTAATTGTTTAAAAAATGAAAACAAAGTGAAAATGCAGACATACAACAACATAGAACTCATTAACAATACCAAATAATAGAACACAAATTTGTAAGTCTTAAGTCTCTAATAGCATCTCAGATTTTGGCTTTCATAACCCTACATTTATGTTGAGATTACCAAACAACTCTGTATATAAATCGTATTAACTGGTTGAATATGAGTGCGAGATCTATTCTTTTTTTGAAGTTATTTACTTTTTTCTAAATACAATATTTACATGTGCTCGTTTATCATTCGAAACATTAATCCATAAATACTGAAATCTTCATTCACAAACCAGAAAACTTCTGGCATTTTCGGGCATTTATTTCCCACCATGAATGGTTCCAGGTTTTCAGCATTTAAAATCCTTCATTTGTGTTTTCCTGCCCCAAAGTAAAATCTTGGAATGAAATCAATCTCATTTTACACTCGGTAGGCATTCTATTATGTTGACTAGTGGTTATTCGTTCATTCTATTTCAACGAGATTTACATATTTTTATAAAGAAAAACCATAATTTAAAATACAACATAAAAAAATGACATTTTATTATCTAAATATACATTTTTGTAAGAAAAAATGTGCAGTTATCTAACTATTAAACAACCTAAGAGCATCACTTGCCATAAATGTTTGTGGGAAGGGCCATCACCAACTACACCTATAATTGTTTAGACAAATTAATTTTCAGTAAACTTAAGATTCTGTGAAAATGTATGTTGCATGTATCTCAACATATTCAAATGTATTTTCACCGCATATTCAAATGATGACATTGCAACCATATTCAAAAATAAAAAGCGACAAGAAACAAAACAGACAGAAGAAAGAAGAAACTACCCATATGATGTCTATTTCTAATACATTTTGAACTGATAGTTTCTAATTTCTTGGGAAGTTCAAGCCCGGTTCAAAGAGTCACAGGACCATATCATATTTATTGTGAAAATGAAGTGTTTGTTACTTGCGTTACCTGAAATTAAAACATACGATGTTTTGAAAGGGGCCCACTGCAAAATCCAATCATGATGCCAACCGAATTTAGCCGAGAGAAAAATTCATCAGTTTGTGTCTCCATGTCTAAGGAACTGTGTAAACTTAGCTTTTACATCCACAGGAATACGAACTGGACGGTAATTCTTATCGAGCCAAACTGCTGTGGCCTTTGCTTCTAAGATGGGCTGGATATGTAAAAGATAATTTATATTAGTGTTCACAATTCTTAATATTTATCCTTAAAAAAATATAAAGGAAATAAATAACGAGCTATCTTCCGTACTATGAAAGTACCCTTTCGAGATTTGTTTCTAATTAAAAAAATTCACCCCCTCCAGAAGAAGAATGTAGAACTCAACTCTCAAAGGGGTGTTGAAGATTAGAAAGATATTTGGACTTTTTTTTTACAATAATTAATTTAAATTCTAAATCTCTGAGTTAGTTATTGTCATTTGCACCTAGGTTCATTTAGATATTGAATGGGGAAATATATAAGATACCTCTAAATTGGGAAGCTTGTAGATGAAATGTTCGAAGAACATCCGAGTAGCAGAAGAGTCGTATACCCTAACCCGCAAAAGGAACCTGTCTCCACTCTATTTAAGACAGGGAATCAATAATTCAAGGATAGGTAATAATATAAACCGAACACACTACTTATTAGCATCTCACATATCTCCAGAACATGAGATGGGCAAAAACAAAAAATAAAAAATATATATATATATATTAACTGTGGCAAGAAGCAGAGTACAATAAGAAGTGTACAATTATCTATAGTTTCACACAAGATTCTCGATTTTCTTTCTGGCCGATTTGCAATTGTGTCTCGGTTTTATGAATCAAAGGCACACACATGAGAAGATGAATAAACAAATGAACAGGCAATAGCTCGTCAAACAGCAAAGTGCACTGTCCACCTGAAGCTCCAAATGCAGAGATTATAGTCAGTCACATACCCTTAAAGGTGCAATAAACTTGAGTGACAATTCAGTTAGAGCTAACGCATCACCAGCTCTGGCGACTTCATCTGCACTCACACCCATTCTCAGCAAAAGTTCATGACGACCTGTAACCAAATCCAGATACTATATAAAGAGCCAAAAAAATAAAATAAAACAAGAAAGAAAGAATGAGAGAGAAGAAAAAAGAATCATTTTGAATTTATTAAAGTCTTATACCTCTAATTGAAAATTAGACAGATCATCAACAAATGTCGGGGGACAAGAACATACAATTTCTTTGTCCTTCTAAGAAAGGACTTTTAACTTGAGCTTCTGTAAAGCCTTAACAGTTCAATTACTAAACCAACCTAAATTTAGTAACAATTTTCGACATCAAGAGGATGTCACCAAATGATGCAAATTAATGGTAGTGTATGTTTTTTAATTGCTTATATGAATCCTAACCAGAAAAGATCATTAAATCTGTAGTAGAGAATCTATAAGAATCCAAATGCCACAAATACATGAACAGATCAGTCTCACCATGTTGGCAGTAACTTGCGTAAATAGCATTATTTACGACGCCGTATTGATCCAATTCATAGTCCCGAACTTCAAGTTCAACATCGTGAAAATTGTTCATCCTGAGACAAAATATTCAAATTTCTCCAGATGATACTATTCTGATGCAATATTGTCAACATAGGCAAATTCCAGAAAAATATACAAAAAATAAACAAATAAGATTCAAATTAGCACCAGAAATTACATTAAACTATTCTCTCCACCTCCCAAAACCGTTCAGTCATCCAAATTGAACCCAAATTCTTCGATAGTATCGAGAAATAGAAGTGCAAGTGAACTTGCAAACCTAAACAAATAAATGCAAGATAAATAACAGCAAAGGCCAAATCAAAGGAAAAAAATAAAAAATGTAAAATCAGACAGACAAAGGGTGGGGAAGAAGAGAAGAAACCCGAGTCAAAATTTCAGCAAAGTAAGAGAACCCATCTAACAATTAACTTTTCATTCAATTCACATTTTTCTCATCAATATCTAAAAACACAGGCACAAAAATTGGGATAATTAACAAAAAGAAACAGAAAAAAAAAATAAAAAAAAAAATAAATTGAGTACCCTTGTCCACCTTTAAAATCAAACGCAGCAGCAATAGAGGTCCTGCCTCGAGAGGAGGACAAACTGAGCCGTCTGAACCGGGCATGCCGCCGGGGATCGTCCGGGAAATTCGTTGAGAGACGGGGAAATAGTACCGCGGCGGGAAGGTCACGCGCGGTCGGGATGGGCGCGTGCGCGCCGGAGTTAATAAAGGAGTGCGACATTATCATTTTTCGAGAAGCTGGAATATTGTGAAGAAAAAGACGAGCTAGCACATATATACAGCCAATTCAACTAGAGATGTCACGGCCTATGTTTGGTAAATCAAATAAGCTAGCTTATAGCTTATTTGTTAGCTTATAAGTTTCATGTATTCAAATAAGGCTTGTTTGTTAGGATGGGCTTATTTAAAAAGCTTCTTTATGTAGCTTTTTAAATAAGCTAGTAGAATTTTTTATTCCAGCTAGCTTATCAGCTAATTTTACCAAATACTTTTATCATATAAGCTAGCTTTTCAGCTATAAGTCATAAGCTATAAGCTATAAGTTAAAAAATTACTGATAGGTTATAAGCTAGCTTATCAGCTATCAGCTAACTTATCAGCTAGTTTTAACAAACATAGCCTACATTGTCAACCTAGTGTACACACAAATGAAAAACTTGTGTTCTATAGAGGTACCAGCCTATAGAACAGATCATGTTCGAGTAAGGTCGTAAAACTTGTGTTTGGGTTAAACTTTTTATACTGACCCGTCCCACCGCAAGCAGTGCACCTCAAGAAAACTCCCTGCGGCCTCCTGTAGATGGGATTTTTTGGAGGCAGTTTCTGAGGGGTCGGGAGTTGTTTCCTCGAGGACTAGTCAAGCGTAAGCCTGGAACCTCGGTATCAAAAAAAAATTAAAAAATAAAAAACATTCACAAAAATAAAAATAAAAAAATACACAAGTTGATGTTTTCACTTGTGTTGTCAACTTAGTTGTACACTAGGTTGACTATGTATCATTTCTTGAATAATAGCGTTCAAAGTTTTAGGCCATCTCCAGCCCATATCTCTACTTTAGCTCGGACTTTACTCTACTGTAGAGTAGAGTGAAACATTCGTCTCTCGCCCTTATCTCTACATTTTACTCTACATCAAATATATTATTTTTTTGTTCATTATTATTTCAAATAAACTGGTATATATATGTATATTTAATCTTATATAAATATTAATTACTCAAATAATAAAAATATATTTTATTTATTTTTATTTCAAATGAATTGGTATATATGTATATTTAATTTTATATAATATGTTTATTACTCAAGTAATAAAAATATATTTTAGTTATTTTTATTTTGAATAAATTGGTATATATATATATATGTATATTTAATCTTATATAAATGTTTATTACCAAATAATTAAAAAATGTTTATGTATAACAACACATTTGAATGTGTTAAATTTTTATTCATATGGAGCAAAATAAAATTATAATACATCAATAAATAAATAAAATCAAAATTTATTTAGCATAAAAAATACATTGTACAAAGTTATTTAACATAAATGTATATTTATTAATACACATTATACAAAAATTTATCATTTATATTACCAAAAAAAATGGCGCAATTGCTATATTGCTGCGCTAGAACTAGCGCAGCACGGTTCATATATCTGATGTAGAGATAAAATCCAGTGCAGCCTTGGAGAAGATTTTTCACGCTAGTCCAACGTTTTGCTCCATTCTAGAGCAGCGCTAGAGTTGGTCTTAATGGGGTAGTTTTGCACTAAATTCTCATAATTCACACCTAATGGAGTAAATGCAATTATAGTCCATAATTTTTTTATGTTCATTATTATCCACTCATTTTTCCTAAAATTATTGTTGTAATAAGTCCCTACACATTTTGTAGTTCGCTCTACAAAATGTGTAGAGACTTATATCTTGAATAAAATATGATTTTATTTCAAAACTTATATGTTGAATAATAAGTACATATTTTCATTCTTAAAAGTAATAGTTTCATTCAAATAGTGACTTACGTTGATAAATTTCATATACCACCTAATTTCTTTACATTTAATACCTGAAATTAGTTCGGAGAGCACCAATGTGTTTAAAATGGTATCAGATCGGAGAGCACCAATGTGTTTAAAATGGTATCAGAGTCTACGTTTTATTAAGAACTCTTAGATAAATATATTATATGGTAATTAACTTTTGATGATGAAAAAAATGAAAATTGTCGAAAATGTTTACACAATTACATATATCTCAAATTTTGAAAATATAAGAACAAGAATATCAAGAGTATGGATGAGCAAAAATCACTAGAGACATCCGAGCACCACCTCCACCCCCCCTTTCTTACCTTCAAGGGAAAAAGTTGTGGTTCACATAAACTAGGTTAAGACGAACAAATGTCCCATATAGGAGATTTCATCATTAAAGTCACTAGAATGCGTTCATGTAGGCCAAATTTTAAAAATACTACTTATGGAAACTCCCAATTAGACCTCATTCACCCTTATGGTTTGAAGTTAAATGTAGATATACTAGATTTAATAACCGATAATTTCTTATCTATGATTGGGTTTCCACAATGACTATAGCCGGAGGAATTTTAGGTCTAGAAAATGAAGGGTTGATCTTATTACTAGAAAAGAGCCTAGAAGGTTCCGTATAATTTTGATGGAACATGACCTCTCAAGATACAGAGATGTTTTGCCCGGAGAGTCATGAAAACGAATAGTCGATTGATAGTATGTCAATATTATTTAAAGTCTTTCTTATTGGCACAGGGTATTTTGAGGGATTAGAAGAAGAGAAAAAGAAAATATAAACAACCCTCATTCATCTTTTGTTGCATGATATTTGTCTTGTAAATGAATCTACAAAGCTATCCGCCAAGTATATGTTGAACTGTAAGCACTATTCTAAAAATCAGCCTAGTCGGCCGCCTAGGCGCTAGGCGCCGCCCTGCCACCTTAGATTTGCATGAATCGACTGAAAAAAACTGGCCATGCGGCTAGGTGGCACTTAGGCGCTACTCGACGGGCTCTATGGCTAGTCAAGCTCGACAGTAATTTTTTAGTTTTTTTTAAATACTAATTACATTATTTTTTTATCATGTACTTTTTTATAATATATTAATATTATTATTTGGATTTAGGTGTGTGGATTTATTATAAGTCGGAGTAGTTTTATTTTGTAGGTAGTGAAACTAAATAAAAAATTAAAGTATATAATATTAATTTCTATACTCCACCTAGGCGCTCTAGGCTTTAGGCGCTGGTCGAGCGTCTAATGAGGACCTAGCGACTTCAAGAACATTAAGTCGAAGTTAGGGACTCTGAATCTTCATAATAATTTTTTCAAGAATACTTAGTCCTTGAAGAGAAATGTTAATCAAAGAATACAAGATCGATAAAGTTGGTATTGTCATCAGATGAATGTCTTTCTTGAAGGTAAACTTGTTTGAGCGGTGTTATTAGGCGACACTGCACAAAAGCTACAAGAGACTAATAGGAATTAATTAAGCAAATCCTCTATGTTGTGAAAAAATGACACTTCAACTACAAGAGACTAGATATGCGCAAAGCATATGACCGAGCAGAGTGGAAATGCATTAAGGCCACAAGGCAAAATATGGGGTTTGATACACTTTTCATTGAGTGGATTCTGGTTGGCATTACCACTCCATCTTTCTCTTTCTTGGTGGATGGCTCAACTGTGGGGTATATCCAACCTAAGAGGGGAGGTAAGGGTAGATTCTATTCTTAATAGTATCAGAGGTGTTATCTTCTCTTATCAATGGGGCATTGATAAGAGGACAGTTCAGAGGGCTAAAAATTGCCAGAGAATGACCAGTGGTGACTCATTTACTATTTGCCGATGACTCATTGGTTTTCTGTAAAGCTGAACCATCTCAATCCAGGGTGTTATTGAGCATCCTAAGCACTTATCAGAAATTTACAGGCCAAACAGTCAACTTAGCCAAGTCAACAATATTTTTCAGTAAGAACACCACATCTGTAGTGCAAGATTCTATCTACCATCTTCTGCAAGGAATTACACCCTACTCCTCTACAAGATACATTGGGCTACCTCTAGGTATTGAGAGGTCAAACAGGGAAGCTTTCAACTACGTGATTGAAGTTGTGAGAGGCAGACTATGCAGCTGGAAAAACAAGAACCTTACTATGGCAGGGAAAGAAACTCTTTTGAATGCAGTTATAAATGCACTACCAGTCTTTTCCATGGCATGCTTTAAACTACCCAAAAAGTGTGTGTCAAGAGATATGCAGGTTGTATGCTCACTTCTGGTGGAGCAAGGATAGTAACCACACGAAAGGTACTCATTAGAGGAGCGGGGATAGAATGACTCAACCAAAGTGTTATGGTGGTATGGGAGTCCAGGACTTTCAAGTTTTTAATGATTCAATGATTGTGAAGCAACTTTGGAGAATCACTACCCAACCTCAACTCCTTGTTAGCCAAATCCTGAAGTCAAGGTACTACCCTTCATCTCCTATTTTGAAGCAAAAAAAAAAAAGAAAGAAAAGCCCTCGGCCTCTTGGTTGTGGAATAGCTGGGTGGAGTTAGTTCATGTCTTGGCTAAAGGAATGACTAGGGAAATCAGAAGTGGACTCCAAACAAGAATATCTGACCACTACTGGGTACCTCTCCTGGGATACCATAGCCCTAAAACAGTTAAATGGAGGGAAACTATTTGGTTTGGGTTAATGAAGGTGCAAGGGACTGGGTGAAGTGAAGGTATGATCCGCAGAATTTTCAATCCTAAGGATTGCAGTGACATTTTGGGTATCACCTCTATTGACCATAATCTGGCTGATAAATGGAAATAGAACATGGATGCTAAACGGAAGTTTTCTGTCTCAAGCACCTATGCTCAAATGATAGAGAACAAAATGGCAGGTTTAGATATAGCTGAGGGAAGAACGTCTACTGTGAAGGACAAAAAAGCCAGGGATAGGAGCTGGAGGTTGAAAATCAAAGGAAAACTGAAGCATTTTGTGTGGAAATGCTTTTCAGGAATCCTCTCAGTTAGCTGCAATGTGGTGATAAAAGGTGTACATGTTGATACTATTTGCCAAATGTGTGGGGAAGAGGAAGAAACAATGGAGCACCTATTTTTTAGATGTAGAAGGGCGAAGCTAGTATGGAAACACTCACAGCTAGATTGGAATGAAGAACATCAGGCTACTCTACCATTTAGACATTGGTGGTGGCAGCTTTGCTCATTAGACAAAACAGGAACC